TATTTCTAAGAGATGCAATTCAACTGTGGACACCCTTTAGATCCAAATAAAAAAAAAAAAAACAATCAAAGCGCCAGATCGTTTCGGAAAATTGGAGTATTTCAAATTCGCATTGCTTAAAACATTTCAAAGTTTGGCATTTAAAATATTTCTTTAAGTTTTAATCTTGAAAGCTTCTCACGGTCCAGATTGATTTTTTTTTTCTTAATCTATCAGAATCAAGAGAACTTTTCTAAGCATGAGCAAATCTTAAAAAGTTTTTGATCTAATTTCCGTCCTACTAAGCACATCTTACACTTTACCTCTCTTTTTTGAAAGGGTTTGAACAAGACATGGAATGTTTTCATCAAAGATAACTTCTAAATTTATTCACCTTTTCATACGTACCGTTGGATTTGATAAAGAGACAAACAATGTTGAGATACCTATTATTAAAAATCTAACACTGCTTCTTGATTTTAAGTTCGTCCTACGAGTTTCAATTCCGTCCTAACGCATTGAAACGCCATTAGATTTTCTTCGTCCTACGGATCATGGTAGAAAAAGTGGATTCGCCAGGAGCGCTTCTCTTTTCCGCAATCTAGTGCCAATCCCCGTCGGGCATCGATTGCCATCCATTGACGGCAATCGAATGTGCAGGAAGGCAGCTTCCACACCTGCGCACCCATTCAACACACACATGGGCCGGGACCAACGGCTTTACTTTCCTTCCGAAGGAAGACGTGACCAGAGATTTTTATGCCTCAGAAAAATCTCATCGACCTCGGCTGGGAATGAACCCAGACCCATTGGTGTGAGAAAGCAGTCACGCTTACCACTACACCACCGGCGCCGGCCATTTTGTGCATGGTGAAATCATTGGTACTATTGATGATTTCTGTTCTGCTCGATGGAACGGAAATGGGCGATTACGACGAAGTAACGCTCTTCCCTATCCTGGTTTATCTTCTATGATCTCGAAAAAATGCTGTGTTTGTATCAACTTGATACTCATCATACATACTGATCATCTTACCATTTCCTCAGGGTGTGTCTTGGAACTTTCTCTGGTATTCCCTTACAATTTGCTCCATAATTCTGAACACATTTTCACGGCTCTACGGAAGACTCTTTGGTTAACTCTCCACTTCTCTCAAAATTCTTAATTAGGTTCACACTATTAATAAACACTCCTCTGTATTTACTGATTATGGTTCTAAAATTTGCATGGAATTTACTTGTGAATTCTTTCTAACTTCTTCAGTTGACCCAATAGCATTGAAACTCTGCTGAGTAAACTTTTGAAATTTACCTAAAAACATAATTTTTCATTGGAATTTTCTATAGAATTCCTTTTAAATATACCTTAGAATTCCTTTGGAATTAACATTAGAATTTTCACAGAATTCATTTCAAAATTCCCATTGTATTTTTTCTTTATTCTCTTGGCTATCTAGTCACAAGTACCATGGAGTTCTCATTTCAAATTTCATAGAATTCTCTTTGGAATCCTTCTCACAATTCTGTTGGAAATTTCTTATGAATCCTACTAAGAATTCCCTTGTACTCAGAACTACCTTGGAATTATCTTAACGTTTCACCTGGAATCTGGAGTTCAACAGAACTAACCTGAAAGGAATCCTCAGGTTTCACTTCAAGTGCTCCTAACAATTCTTCCCATGGAATTCTTCTCTGATTTCCCTTGAAATTATCCCTAGAGATCCATGGAAACTCACATCAAATTCATTCATTCTAGTCCGTATGCCGTAAAGTTTGGCATGGTCCTTATTTTGAATAATCTGGGTTTTTGGAAAATATTCATTGGCCGACGTCCTGAATATTTATTTTCCTTTAAAATTCTTGAACATTTGTCCAAGTCTGATTTTATTAGGACCAGGAATTCAAAAAAAATTCAAAGTTTAAAATTTGTAGAAAATGTCCATGATTCAGCACCGTAAAAAAACAATTCAAGTTTCCGAAATTCACTCCTAAATTAATACGTCCAAAGTGTAAAAACGAATAACGATGAAAATAAAGTTGGTTGTATAATAACATGTTTTGAGATTCTTGAGATGGTTCCTCGGCGTACTTTATTATATTCTATTATAATTTTCTTACAAACAATTAAATTGACTGCAAGTCGCTAAACCGTAAATCAAAAAGTAATTGATGATACTCATCACTACGGCCCGGTGGTCGGAGGTGAGGCCGGCAGTTCAACTGTTGCATTTCATACTGTACTGGAAATACTTCAGCATGTAAGGATGCACACAAAAATGAGATGTGCTTGTTCACATCGACTGATACTGAGTGGTTGCGGTACAAGCACATATCGTCGATAATAGACGATTGTTGTGTATTAGAGAACGCTTGCGCAAAAAAGACTAGGGTGGGAAACGGATTCGAAACTCAAATGTCATTAGCCAAATACATCCATAGACCATATAGGTCCACCGTTGTATAATTGGCAATGCACCCGTGTATTGAATGGGAATTGTGGTTTCGAATTCCCCCGGTACCCTTAGATTTTTTCGCAAACTTTCTCACACACACACGTCTCTTACCTTACCGATGATATGTGCTTATTTTTCAGTATGTTCAAACTTTCTTACAAACAATTAAATTGACTGCAAGTCGCTAAACCGTAAATCTAATTTTGAAAAATTGTTTTAATTTCAAAATTCCCTGAGAATTCCAGGTTTTTTCGGGAAAAATTAAATTTCCTGAAGATAAACGGTTTTCCAAGTAGTAGACACCCTTTTATAGCATGTCGCACTTTTGAGTAAAATTAAAAAAAAATTAAACAGGGTCACTCAGTCTTTTTAAATTAATGTATGGTTACACTCAAACCCCATTCCGGATTTAGTGATGGAAGGATTTTAAAATTGTTCAACTAACTACAAACTCCACTTTATCCCAAAAAAAAGTATACCACTCCCAATATATTTGATGTATTTTTCTTGAAAGATCATAATTTTCTGGATTCTATGGCACTCATTCAAGAGCATTTAGAAAAACCAAAAATTAAAATATCCTAACTCTTCCAGCATTTCTGAAAAGCTACTATGCGTAACAGAGGTTTGCTTTCTGTAAAATATTTGTCGGATTAAGTACTACTGATTTCTTGCTCAGATTCGAGAGCAAGTGGCGAATAGATCAGTCTTTACCCTCTCCAATGGCGATAACCATCAAGTTGGTGCTATTTTTTATTATTTTTGTAGAAAACTGATTTCTTAAGTCTGAAAAGTTGTTATTTGTTAACAAATTTATAAAAAGTTATATGTAAAACAAGTTCAAATTTTTTTAAATAAATTTTATATTCTACAATTTTTGTTAGTGTTCATACGGAAATTTCACATAAATTTACCTTTTTTATAAGTTTGAGTTTAAACATAAGTTCAGTATTGAATATTTTTTTCTGGGAACGCCATTAATTTTCCTACAACTTTGTCTCAGACGTTCATTTCGATTAGACGAGGCGTTTTCGTGCTATTGAAAGAACATCGAACACGCCACTTTGAGAAATGAAGCGCGAGTCAAAATGGCCAAATTCTAGCACAAAGTTGAATGATTGCCCATAGCGAACAATTATCCAAAGATTTATGGAAGTCGTAGAAAAATTCGATGTTTTTTTCGCTATTTGGCTTGGATAAGCTCTCAATTTTCAAGCTTGCCTTTTTTATGTATACGTGATGATAGAGATCAAATGACTGTAAATGATTCATAAGGAGTTATTGTCGGAACAGTCTATTTCTGTCCATAATACGCACATCTTTATTCTTCAAGGGTGACCCCCACATAAGAAAACCCCAAAAAGGAATCACATTTCAAAGCTCCGTTTTTGGACTTATATCAACTCCGGCAGATAAACAACTAACCAGATCCATCGACAATTGCGTATTTTCTCACGCAACCAACTAAAACCGCAATTGCTCATTACAGAAGACCTTCAAAACCAAAAGCATTATTAATCATATCTCGAAAACATAATTCCATATTCTTCCGCTTCCTTTTGTGTAACCCTCACCAGAATATACTGCCAACATAAACCAGATTCTAGACGGAAGATAACCAATTACCAGCTGAGAACTCAACACGTACTAAAACGCACAACCCTACACACACAAACAGTCATCGCATGCCTTCGTTATACACTTGATTTCCTGTTGTCGTTATTCATCCAAGAGCGAGAATGGAAGGCAAGTGCATTGCAATAACTTCCGACCGCCGAGTCGCGAGGCTCTCATTGGCTGCAATTATGCACCGATTATGCACTCCGGAATTGCGGCAACAGGATGGTGTTTCAAGGACCGCAACACTGAAATGAACCACTCAAAAGAGTGATGTCAATACTCTCTCATCAATAGGGAGCGGATCACCATGTGTCGCGACCCAAAGAACTACTTGTTGCAACAATAGCAACAGCAAAAACAATGCACGAGGGTGACATTTTCACGAATTGCAAAAGAGATGAATCAATATGCTCGTTCCATAAATAGCCAGCACGGGCGCTATATGGCATGTGTCGAAGTTTATCCACTTTGCAGAGTCAACGAGCCCATAATTCACGGTGACAGGTGAATGGCACCAGCCAGCCACCATCACGATACACTGTTGTGGGTCAGGATTGTTTTAATGTTGCTATGTTTGTAGCCAGTACCCATACCTCTTAACACTCAGCAGTCGTTGTGGCAGTAGCGGAAGCACTCTTAACGATCATCAGTGTGATCACCGATTTAGTTGAGAGCACGAATCATTTTTCACGACAGACATGGCTCTGTGCGTTCTGAACACAATATTCGGATCAATCAACTGCTGATATCTCAATTATTGGCCAACGATCGTCGTAGTGGTAATTTTTACGAGCACAGTTGACCTTTATGCCCGATCAAGATCTCCCAATCATGCGCTCATGGTTTCTCAAAGTGCGTAATGATACATTTGGTGCGAATCGAGATGATTGAGAAAAAAAAACAACTAGCGAACGAGCGCCTCATTTGGGTCCTATATGGAAGTCTCACCTCTCTTGAATTGAAATCAGCATCAGCAGCAACCGGACGGGTGACCTAGCATTTGCATCGTCAGCACCAGCACCCAGCTATTGAGCAAGAACACACATTCAAGACGACGGATGTCCTCCAATCCACCATATAGGGAAGTAAGCGGTCAATCTCAGGTCAAGTTGATTGAACCAAACCGAGTAGTTGCACTGTGGTGGTGGTGGTGGGTGAATCCCTCGAGTGCTCAATAATCTGGAAAGAGAACATGACGAAAACAAAACATTAGCCAAAATGGAAACCCGCATATATTTGGTGTGCGATAAAATAGCCAAATTTGAACGATTGCTCCGGGATTTATTGCTACTTCCGATAGACGACGACGACGACACTGGCGACGGAGCATTCTGTTGTGCATATGGAGAAGAGACCAATTGGGCGACCAAATACCGCAGTCTGGTGGCCACTGCACGCTTTGCATTAAAACGAGGCCAGCTTCTATTTCAATGCTCAATAATAGGTAGACCTATATTTCTTTTGCAGCTTTCCCTCTATACCTCCGGATTCCGGAACACTGCGCACGTGCTTGAGGTAAACGAAAAAAAAAATAAAATTCAAGGGTTTTCCGGTTCATTAGCATATCTGATAGCGACCAGCGGCCAGTAGCGATTGCAGCTGGTTATGCGAAATTTGAAACGGTGAATTATTTTGATTCGAACAAAAGGAGATCCGATACCATTGTGCGAAGAGTTATTTAAAATTTTAAAGTATTCTACTCTGAAAAAAAAACATCACTTGACTTGGGAATGTTTCGAACTTGCTGTGAAAGTTCTCTGTAAATTTAGGTAGGTTGTGACAAATTGTGCATACATTATATATTAAAATATGAAAATACGTATTCCAGAGAGCTTCCAATTCAAATTCAGATTTACCAGATTCAAATTCTAAAGAAAATAAACATGTGAAAAACTACAAACTAAGGATTTTTACAGCACAAAATCCCAAAATTATTTTAGCGGAAAACTGCCTCGATTGTCAATAAGTGTGACAAAGAATCATTCTCAGTGTGCAAATTTTGATGAAACAGTATTTTTAAAATCAATAACGGCGCCTGCCACATCCTTATGATCATCGAGGAAGGCAATGATTGTTAGTTTGACAGACATTGCTACTAAAGACCGTTCCGATAATAATAAATACACTAACGATGAACCGTTATTTCAAATTGCGTGAAATATTTCACGAAATTCTGGCTGCATCCTGATGTTTACATTCTACTCTAACACGTGTGATCAGTTTTTTTTTTATATTTTGCGAGGAAATGTGAAAATGCGTGGCCTTACTCCTGAACAAAGAAAACGGATTATGCACAAATGGTGTACCGTCAGTGGGCTTTCCTTAAAAAAAAAACCTGGCTAAGGAGGAGAATGTGAACGTTGGAGCAGTACAAACCGCATAACGGAAGTATGAAGAATCATGCACTTTCGAAGATTCTCCGAGGCGTGGAAGAAAACCTGGCCCCGTTGACCCTGCAATCGTTAGTTAGTCTTCATCTATTTGATTCCTAATCTTCTATTCGTTGTTCCCTAGTTTGAAGTGATTAAGACTAGGGTTCTGATGCATGGTCATTATCGGTGTCATTCCTTAATTTTGTTGCTAAGGAATCCAATTTTGACTGACAAAGGGTATAAATAGCGGAACCTTTCAATTAGAGTCGGGTCCTTGCGATAAATACCAGAATGACAACTGTAAAAAATTCGAATACTTCATCATTTCTCAATAGTGATGGAGTAATACGACATGCACTAAACTAAGGACACGGGATATACAGGGTGCGTGACAAATTTTTGCAGTAAATGGCATATTTGAGAAAAAATACACCAGTTAGTGATTCTAGCAATGAATTTTGTGCGATTTATTTTCTTTCGCAACATATGGAAGTTGTAAGTAAATTTATTCAAAAAAAATTGCCTCCCCTTTCGACGACTGTAGTTAGACGCTTCCGGAAACTGCAGTATGCACGTTTTAAAATGTTTCGATCCATAGATGTCATCACTGCCTTGATTTTAGCTTTTAGCGACTTAAGTGTGGTGTGAGGGGTTCTATTGGTATCCCGTTGGACGACGCCCTATACAAAATAATCCAACGGATTGATATCGGGACTGCTTGGGGGCCAAATTTCTTCCTCCCAAATTTACGAAATATTTTCCGTAAGCCATTTCTGTGCTTTATTAGCAGTATGAGCAGGTGCTCCGTCTTATCACTTTCCCAAGCCTTTTTTAATATTATACACTGTTCTTTCAGACACATTTACCGACCGAATTATTTCTTTCATGCATACTCCGGCGCGCAACAAAGCGACAACGGCTGACAGATTGCTCTCTTGTTTCGACATCTTTACGTTAACTCAACATTGTTTGTTTAAATCTTACACCTAACAGTATAAGCTATCCAGTGCTGCCAAATATATCTAAATCATGATGCACAAGCATGAGAAATTACTATTTGAAATTTACTGCAAAAATTTGTCACGCACCCTGTACTACAATAGATCAAATTACTGGTCGCTGTGGTGTTACGTCCCGAACAGAGAAAAAAAAAATGTTCCTGAATCGGTCAAAGCCATTTACACCGAAAAATTTAGCAAGAAGGTCATAGTTTGGCCACCGACAAACCGACATGAAACTTAAACTTAACTCTTGATCGAGAATCCATAACGGCCGATTCAAATGTGCAGCGATCCCATCTGTCAAAACCATAGAAATGTTTTATCTAGATAAAAATAATTTGTCCGAAATAGATTAGACACGAACCAACTCATACATTTTGTACGCGTGTTCGTGGCTAGGATAAATATTTTCCGCGAACACGGCGGCAGATGTCAGTTTTGTGCTTTTATAAGAAATTTCTTTGTAATTTGAATGATCAGAAATGTTAGTTTGTCGGTGGTTTGGCAAGCGATATGCCAGTGTGGAAACATTTCTCGACCATTTATAACGGCAGGCACAATGAATAGCAAAGTTTACTTGAAGGAATGTCTGTAAAACAGATTACTACCCTTCATCAGGCAGCATGGCAAACCTGTAATCTTTTGACCTGATCTTGCTTCCTGTCACTATTCAAAGGATTCGTTAGATTGGTATGTATGTATGTATGTATGTAAGGTAGCCACCATCCCTTCGAAGATCTTGTCTTGTATGCAGCTCCACTTAATAGCAAGATCAATTTGAGCTACCGATCTGAATTCACAATATCGCTGTATGAAGGGCCAAAAACGGTGGGGTGGACCCGTAAGCAGAGGCACTTAGGCGAAATCCACGGGAATTTAAGAATCTCCTTCCAACGATACGATCCAACAAATCAAATAACGCAATTCACAATACTTAAGCTTCCTACAGGATGGTTTGTTAAGAAGGGCGCGTCAATCTCCATGAAACTGTTGGAGTAGAATTTACACCATCACAATCGAATCGGTAGGATAAAGAAAATGATAGTGTTTATTCCCTCCTAGACTCCGGTTTTCATACCACTCCAATCGTCCAGTTCCAGGTCAAATGATACCCTGATGCTCCCTCCCAACCCAGTATTTATTTATATATATATAGTAAACATATGTAATGGAGAAATGAAATATATTAGAACATTAAAATACGTAATAATGAAAATACATTTAAAGGATTCGTTAGAGTGGTGTACAATAATTATAAAGTCACATATGTGCCAAAAGAGTTGAATCCACCAAATTACCCTGATAAAATTGAAAAAAATCAAGAAAGATTGGTCTAGAGTGGTAAAAATGGCAGGCGAAGGTACTGTGATTAGTGTCAATGGAAAAGTTAGAAAACTCGGCTACTCTCAATAAAATCCTGCAAATTCAATTTATGTGTGAAAGAAAACATGATAATAAACAACATTTGAAAATAAAATGGCCTAAAGCTTCACCCTAGTTTCATTTAATTCACTAACAAAGTGTATTTAAAATCAACGGAACAGTCTATAGAGACCGGAAACACCTCTGCATCTCCCCACCTCTAATAGAAAGAGATGCTATATTCACCATAGAAAGTGATGTTATCCATGGTTTTCTGCTCAGTACGCAAAAACGGTCACCTCTAGGTAACCGAGCACCTTATATCGAGTTGCTCTCGCGAGAATTATTGTCAATTCTAAGATAATTGTAGACAGAAATCTAAGAACTTCCAAGAGGTGATTCCTAAAGTGGTATGCAGAGAATTTCCAAGGCTGATATGGACAAAAATTTCAATTGAATTTCAGAGAGAATCAAAAGATTATGCAGGGGAATCCTGAAAGCAATTCTGAAGACATCTTGCGATGATTGTAAGGAAAACTTTCAGAAAATTCCAAAGATACCGTGGGCTACCGAAATCTAAACAAGATTGAATTCATACACCTCATACAAAATGGAAGGCGTTTTGTAAGAAATGTATGGATTTTGATTAACAATCTTTAAAATGATTTCCCAGTCCGCAAGCCACATTCAGTCAACAAGCTGAAAACATTTCGCGGACAGCAAAAACTCATTCAGCGGGTTGTTGGATACGCACCATTTCTACGGTATCGGTATTCGGGAGGGTCATATACTATTCTTGCTAAGAGAAACTATATATTTCTTCTCGATTAAGATGTGAAGGTTTGTGGGGAATGATGATAAAGATGAGAGATTAATTGGGATCGTATTCTGTCGAAGAAAGCCTAAGAACCACACCCCAACAAAGTAGAATGCGGTTAATAAGCAGTAGTAAATCTCCACATGCCCTTTATGTTTTCTGACTGATTTTTTTCGTATACCCGCTATTAAAGTCTTCTAAACAACGACTCATTTATTTATTTATTTCGTCAAGCAAATATAATACATATATTCACTTTTTGAATATATACCTTAAAATTAACATTCAAACTCTTCTAAATTAGCTCTGAAACACACCAGAACGATCCCAGACTAATGAGGAAATGCGCTGAATTGAACCGTTCTTCAGATTTCCCCGTAAATGCTCTTGGAGCCATCTGTATGTAGGCCCTTGATATCATTAAAACCTCTCCGAAGATCAGTTAGCCTTTACTGGACCGGTCCATAAGTCTCAATACTCATTGATACTATCTATTCAAACATCCTGGAAGGAAAGGATTCCGTGCCGAAAGATACTGTCACGCTTAGTATCATCCTGAAACAGGTCAGAGCGACTTCATTCGCATCATGTTATTTTTTCGAGATTTATCCGCACATGAACACTCTG